TGAATAAAAATAAATTAAGTTATGAATAGATTGGATTTGCGAAGCCAAAGTTGAAATCTAATGAGTATTTTCAGTATTCAAATTTTTATAATCCATTCAAGGATATAAGATCCAACCAAAAAAAAGATGGGGTGTGGGTGGGTGTGGCTGTGGGTGTGGGTGTGTGTATTGATGTCGATAGAGGTACCGCACACACACCCACGCCCACACCGACGCCCACAACCACACATCCACACCCACACCCACACCCACACCACCCACACCCACACCACACCCCTTATATGTCAGGTAAAACTAAACTTAGATTTTGAAAATTTAAACTGTTAAACTTATGTGAACTTGATGTTGTTAGTGCTTGAACCAAAGTAGTGATATTTCAAACTTTGTCAATTTAATTGAAAATTACACAATAAATTTGAAATAGAAAATCCCTGAATTTTCTTTTCTACTGAAATTATCATTACGTTCAGAAAGATTAGATTTCCCCAGTACTGTTTATGGAAAATAGCATAGATTTTTGGAAGATGTAGAATTCGCCCATCTGTTTTTTTTGAAACAGTCATTAGGTTGAGGAAAATATGGAGTGTGTGTAGGTGTGGTTGTTCTGTTTCTTTCTGTCTACGCCTCCGCACTCACTTCCCAACCCCACGCCCACATACAGTTAAAATGAAAGTAGAGCGTATCATGAAAACTTGGAAAGTTCAATTGTTAGGGTGAGGTTTAGCGGAAGAGCCAATTGTTTATATACAATTGTAATGATAGATTGATTGAGAAAGTTTCAGATGCAGATTATTTCAACATTTATCGTGTAGCAAAAACAAATATGAACTGTATACTCGATTTGTCAATGACAATAGAAAGATTTTGTGACATACAAAAAAAATCATGAAACTATTGTCGATTTTATATTTAAACCAGTATTAGAAGTAATAAAATCACATCATTACAATTACTTATCGGCACATTAGTATAATTAATTGTCTTCTATATGTATAAAAACCTTCGCCTAAAATAGATAGGCGACTTTAACAACATTCGAAAACCTTCTACAACGTATGATTTCAATGAAGGAGTCGGCGGCTGATAAGCATAATCTTTAGCTCTAGCATTCCAATAGACAGCATTGCTCTTCAATTCATTCGTATTGTTAAGTACCAATTCATCAGGTATTCCATACGATGGAATGTCAGATTCAGTATCGTAACCGAGTTTCTTCATTAATGGCGCAAGACTATTAATTTCTTGTTTGATATAACTTGGCAAATTTCCAACCCATTTGGTCAATCCTTCGACATTGATTGGTTTAATCACTTGATCTGATGAGAATTCTGTTCTATCAAATAAATATTGACGTAAAAAATAGCGAATGGTTCGTTTCTGATTACAGACTTACTTGGAAACAGAGATTTTCTTACCAACTAAATTTTCATGATGTAGTACGTCATCAACCCAAGGCAGACCGAGAAATTTCAATATACGTTCAATAGTTTTTTTCGGTTGAAGTACTAGTTGTTCATATCTCACAATCAGACATTTCTTTTTACCGACTTGTATGCATTGATCAATCATAATCTCCATGTGTGTATTCCATGATTTTAAATTTTGCCGATAGTCCGTGAAATTAAATCCGTCGACGAGTACTTCACGGGTCATCACTGAATAGACTACGGCACGAGCATCACGAACAAGTAACAAGAATTTTGCAACTGGAAAAATGGATGACATATATGCAGCATACATCAGCACAAATGGATCTTTGTCACAGATTACATGAGCATTGTGACTATGGTGAATAAGTATTTCGTAGATAAACAAGCGAATAGCTGAGTCAAGTAGCGATGCATTGACACCACTAGCCATTAGTCTAGTAGATAAATCAAAAGCAAAGCTTCTAAAATCATGCGTTCTCATCTGAGAGTATCAGAGGGACAATGACATATTCATTTTTTTCTTCTTTTATGTATTTAGCCGATGGAAGACTTGTAGCAAAAAATTTCTCCTTAAATTCTCTACAGTCGACAACATCGACCGTTTAATTGTACAATCTAAAGATATCGATAAGAGGAAAAAATCCAATTTACGAAATGAATTAGATTTCTTTGAATCGTCCACAATGACACAATGCAAAATCTTGAGACTTTCAAATTATCAAAACTCAAAGTGATCTAAGCATTTTCTCCATTGCTCTGTACTATAGTGTTCTATCCAACTGAAACTTTTCTCACGACTAGTGAACACCATTTTGGGATGTGTCATTGTTTTGCTTGCCTTTTATCTTTTTTCTTCAAATAAAAAAGAAAGTACCTTTCAAAACCTTTTCTTGATTAGGATAAATTTTATAGCACTTGTCATCAATGAGAAAAATGAAATGCTTCAAGCAGAATAACTACAGAATCCAAACTATGTTAAATATTCGTGAAGATGCTTCAGTTCAATTAGGCATAGTTCGTCTGAGAAACAGGTACGATTCTGTACTTGTTTTTCGTACAAAAACTGACTCTAATGAAAACACAAAACGAGACAAAGTTCTGCTGTCTCGATAGCTCAGAGTTTTTGTTCATGCATGATTCTTTAAAATACAATTCTTTGATGGGTCTAAACAACAATGAAAATTTCTGGTTTACATATCACTGGATATATGAAACTCAAATGACTCTTCAAAACTAAATAAAAATTTGATATTGAGAAAACTGTATTCTAGGTATGGGTAAAGTAGAACTAAACTTTTAAGGCCCTCCCTGAAAAGTTGATTTTGATCCAGAAACGTTCGAATGATCTGAAATTTAGAGGATATGTTAAATCTTTTATGAGATAACTATGATAAAAATTTTAGTCTAAAATCTTGATGTTTCAAGGAGATATTGACCAAATAAGGTCGAAAAATACATGATGTAGTATTCCAAATGTCTTCGTCCCTATATTATCAACTCGTCAAAATATTTTTGTTTAAAGAGCGTGTCAAGACGCAGAGCATGATTAGGTTCAATTTTTGAATTAAGGCCCTTTTTTAGCGCAAAGGAGAGTTTATAAATTGAGCCGTCGAAAAAATCCTCAAAAAATGGTAACAAAATCATATAAATGTCTTTGAATCGGACGAAAACGGAACTTCATTCCAAAATCGGACCTGGACATGCCCTGCGCTTTGATTTACTCTTTCAAGTAAAAGAAACATTAATTCATTAGATGAGCCATTACTGAGAAATTTGAGATGCGTGTACCGAGAATAAACGAAAAACATTTTTGAAATTTTCAAAAAGCTGCTGGTTTTTTGAATAGGAGTTTCCAGAAATCTTCAAAGTTTTTTGGAAAAAAAAGAAGTAACAAGGAAAAGTTTTTATCATTTTTGATAGAGCAGGCTGTGAATTATTTCCCCATGCCTTTATCTCAATTTTGGTCATTCTGACGAAAATTGACTTTTTTTGAGAGAGTAGGAAGCCTTAAAAACCTCTCAATTAAACACATGGAGCATTAAACTAGGCTAACACGGTAGCAGTATATAAACGGGTTATTACAAAAAAAACAACCTGTTCCATTCAATTCTTGACTCTTTCCATATCTTTCTCATTTCCAGTATGATTGGTATCACGTGTGTCTCTTGACCACACCGAATATGTGGATGACTATCGAGAATGACTCGCATAAGCGTTGTACCGCTTCGTGGCATGCCACCAATAAAAATCATCGGATGTGTTTGTGATGAGTGATTGATTTTGATGATTTGTTCATTGATTTGACTATTTGATGAGCATGATTCATTTTGGTTTAATACGTTATCGAATGTTGAACGACTCATTCCCAGACGATAACCAATACAA